CCCCTACCTCCTCCTCCTCCTCGCCGTCGTCCTCTTGCCGCTCGCCCGCTAAATGAACCATTTCCAATTCAAATTCATTTATCTTCCCGCCAATAAGCTGTTTGGCGCGGCTGCGGCCACGCCCAGGCCGCAGACGCACCCACCTCGGCCTGCCCCGCCCCCCTTAGCGGTGACCTCCCCCTCGGCTGCCCCTCTCCCACGCGGCCCGGTCAGACTGCTTACAGTTTATCCCTGGAGGCAGGACTGGGTGCGCGCGCTGGGCGGCGCGGGGCGAGGCGGCGCGGAGCGGAGCGGCCCACTTTCCTTGTGGCAGTGTAGCCGGGGTGTATCTGCTTCGTCCAAAGGTCACTCGCCGCCGCCGCCGCCGCCCGACAGTGGGAAAAAAGTGAAGCAGCGGCTCGCGGGACGCGGAGATGAGCGAAACTGCTGTCCAGTATCGCGGGGCGTATCGCCATGTCGCCGCGCGGCCGCGGCGCAACGACCGCGCTGCCCGTCCGGCCTGTCGGACTCTCTGTGCCCGCCTGTCCGCCGCGCCTGTGTGCGCTGCGCTCGTCGCACTCTGGACAAGCCAAGTGTGATACAGCCCGACAGTTGTAAGTGCAATGTCATGATTATCACACTTCCAACTTTAGAACCACACATGTATCACACTTCCAACTGTAGTACCACACATGTGTTACTACAGTTGGAAGTGTGATACATGTGTGGTACTACAGTTTTACCTGTGATACATGTGTGGTACTACAGCTTTACCTGTGATACTCATGGTATTGCACTTATAACTGTTGGACTGTATCACACTTGAGTTTCCATGGAGCAGCCAGTGATGTTGGTGTTTCCCGCACCGCGTACCTACGCGGGCTTCTCATCATACCGCGGCGCGGGCGGGGCCGAAACCTCGGTGGGCCTATGGTGGTGGTGGTGGGCCCGGCGCGGCGCGGTTGCGGCTCTCCCGGATCAATGGTGGGCGTGTGGGTAGGTCGACTCCACCGCGCGCGGGGTACCGGCCGAAAAATATGTGTGCGACAAAAGGTAAAAAAGAAAAAATGTAAGGTTGCTGGTCGCTCTCTGCGGACGTGGTAAAAATGCGTGTCAAAAGTGTGTGGTTCCCAGCTTTAAAGAGAGAGAGAAAAAAAAATCTGCATGAAAAGAGGAAAATAATTGCGTGACGAAAGGATTCGCCCGAGTCGCGTGCTTTTGTGTGCTGCGATGCGACACACTCTCGAGGGAGCACGCCCGTCCCGATTCTCTTTGCGTTCACTAGAAAAAAACAAAGGTGTTGAGTGGCACCTTTAATTATGTGAAGCGGCGTGCAAGGACACTAATCTTTAGCATCTTCAAAAACATTTTGAACTCAAAAGAATTTTAAGCACCCCTGCAAAGGTGTGCCGAATAAACTTGGCTTCTCCAGTGTGGTGAAATGCATTCGGCCCCTCCCCTTTTCTAATGATAAGGGGAAGTGGGGGGGGGGGCCTTTCCCAAGGCCGGAGCAGCAGGAGGGGTGCACAGCGGGCCAACAATTATTGATTCGCCTGGAAATTGATTCGTGAGCCGTCGGGTCGGCGGCCATAGGTCGGGGGCCGCGGGGGTCCTGCCCCTCCATGAGGGCCTGGCCGGGTTTCTTCCTGGCGTGTCAGCCACAGCTGGGCTCCGACTCGACTTCCTCACTCGTGTCCCGACGTCGCGCGGCGCCCTGCAAAATGCATAGGCGCGACCGCGGAGCACTCTGTGGAAACGACTCCCTTGCAGACTCGCGGGACGCGACGGGTAAGGAGGAGGCGGGCATCCGGCGACAAACTGAAAATGTCAAAACCAGGGGTTGGGGGGGGGGGGTGAAGGGACTGCGACTGCGGAGCCGAACAAGGAAGCAGGACAACCCCTGCACAGGACAGGCCCTGTCTCTTCTCTTGTCCGCCCTTTCTTCGCCAGGGACGCAGTTGTGCAGTGCTGTGCGCCCCGAGAGAACTCTGTCCCACTTGACTTGCGTGAGTTGTGTGAACTGGACGTGGGACTGGTGCTGCTGGCCGGCACCGCTGGCGCTGCGGCTGGGGACGGCGCACTGCGCTGCGCAGCTCGCGTCCAAAAAGCGCCGCCGGAGACAAGGCAGGAGGAAAAAGCGAGTAAAACGGGGGGGAAGGAGGGAGGGGGGCACAAGAAAAGAGGAATACTAAAGGGCACCTGGCTGGCTCCGTGCCCCATAGCCCCGGCCGCTTCGACCAGCCTGCATGCGCTTGCGCTGGACGACTAGGCGGGGCGGGGCGGGGCGGGGCGAGGGGGAGGCTTTTATAGGCCAATAGCTGGGGGACGCTGCCTGATGAGTTCTTGGCAGAGACCTCCATGGCGACGGGTGGCGTGGCGTGGCGTGACACGGCAACGTCGTCATGACGGCGGCCTCCGTGTCGCCCGCGCGCCCCTCATCCCGGCCGGTGCCCCGCGGCGCAGTCATCATCGCCCCGCTCCCGTGCACAAAGTGAACTGCACCGGACAAAACGTGGGACAAAAACAAAAGTGGCGCGGTAATTTGAAATTGAAACAATTGAAAACTGTTGGCCAAATTTTACAACCAAAAATATAATGTTATGTCAACTTTAGAAATTTCTCATTCTTTGTAAGTTCAATTTTCAACCTTTTATTGGAAAAATTGCTTGATTTGTTTACACAGGCGCCACACTAGCCGCAGGCCCAACTACCTCAGCTCATACTTTATAGGCGTGATTGTGCGTGTCCGCCGCGGTGTCCCCACGCAATAGCGCAGCAATTTCCATGAAATTGCGTTCTGCCCCCGTCGTCGTCGTCGGCAGCCGATAAGTGATGGCAAACGTTTATGCGGGGCCCGAGAGGGGTGGAGCGTGGGAGTAGTCCGCGCGCCCGTTTGTCGCGCGTGGTCACGGGGTGGGCACGGGGTGGATGGACACAGGCCGGACACGCAAATGCATTGCCCGGCCCGGCCCGCTCGTCCCGCTGATCGATGCTGGCGCGGCCCATATGCGCGGCCCGTGATGAACATGTCGGACATCGTTACGATAAAGGTCGTCAAGGCTGTCGTCCTGCTCGCCCGGTCGATGCTTTATCGTGCCGAGGAGGAGGGGCCAAACACGGCGCTGAATAAGTGACGGTAAATGGCGCGCGCGGGGCCGCGCGCGCTCCTCTTTGAAAACGATGTCGTCGTTTATGGTTTCTTTGTGTCGCTTCGTTCTGAATTTGATCCACGTGCCGCCGCCGCCGCGGACCGTTTCTGTTTTGTATTTTTTGTCTGTGTGTGCTTTGACCCAATGGTTCCTTTCTTCTTTTTTCACGGTGTAGAGTGAATAGTCTAGCGTCCGGGAGACAATGGCCCCGGCTCTCTGGTCCCATAGCGGTGCATCGGGCCGGCTGGGCGGACAGGGCAGGGCGGACTTGTTATTTTAGGACCGTCCCCGCCCAACACCCGCCTCGTCCCGCCCCGGCACGCCCCGCCCCGCCCCGGCAGGCCACGCGCGACCAACTTACTCTTCACTCGCTTGGTCCTGAGGCTGCTGCTGCTGCTGCCGGACGCGCACGCGCACGAGGCCGTCCTCCACGTGTCGCGCCCGGCCGCGGTCACGCACCCGAGCGAGCACGCACGCACAGGCAGGCGCAGGCAGGCAGGCAGGCAGGCAGAGGTGTGCGTGCGTGCGTGCGCGTGCTTGCGAGCGTGCGTTGCGTTTGCTGCGGATTTTGCTTGCGATAACCCGTCTCCCGTCTGGCGTGGCGTGGCTGGTCCAGCGCCGCGTGCCCCGGGCAGCAGCGCCGGGCGTGCGGCACGCCCATGGACGCGGGGCGGGGCGGCCTGGAGGCCATACACTGTAATTTCAAAGGCGTCCCGTGAGAGTGCGACAAAGGTGTAGGCTACAGAAACCAGTGCGACTTAAGTCGCAGTCTGGGCATACACCTTTGTCGCACTGCCACCATGCACCTTTTTATGCATAATATGCCGGACAGCCCCTAAGCCCCTGCCAAGCCCCCTGGGCAGGTGTTTGGCATCCATACACCTTGTGCTTTGGTAAAATAGTACACGGTTTGAGGGAGCTGTGAGCCGTGGGCTCCAGGCCCATGAAGTGCGCTCCCAAGGTGTATGCAGGCCAAGCACTCGCTTAGGGGGCTTCAGGACTGTCCGGCATATTATGCATTAAAAGGTGTATGGTGGCAGTGCGACAAAGGTGTGTGCCCAGACTGCGGCTTAAGTCGCACTGGTTTCCGTAGCCTACACCTTTGTTGCACTCTGACGGGACGCCTTTGAAATTACAGTGTAGGCAGAGGGGAGCAGGACCTCCACCCGGCTACCCGCGTGCTCTTGCTCGTGCTCGTGTTCGTGCTCGTGCTTGTGCTCGTGCACGCCGCGCCCGTTGCGACAGCGAACCGAGGCGAGGCCCTCACACGTCCGTGCTCGTGTGTCCGAGCATCTACTTGTCAAACTGTCAGAATGCCAAAGCAGCCGCCATCTGCGCGGACACTTCGCGCAGCGGCGTGCGGTCATCGCTGCAATAATTTACACGACTACTGCGCGTGGCAGAGCGTCGTCGTCGTGTGCGGCCCGCGTGGCCGCGTATATACCCCCTCGCGGAGGTGGCCGAGGCGCCCGCACAGGTGCACGACGGCGTGGTGCTGCTCCTTGAGCGAGCGTCCCGGTGCCGCGCCCACCGTTCCGTCCCGCTGCTGGCGTCGCCGTCGCGCGCGTCGCTCTGCCGCGGCCGGTGGGGGTCGTCGCCCTGCTATCTCCGTTGTGCCGGGTTTGTCCACCTGCCCGTCCAGTTCGCGCTGCGCAGCGCGGCCAGGTCGGGACAACTACGCGCTGAGCGTGGCGGGGCGTGGCGGGGCGTGGCGGTCTAATTGAAGGAAGGCCCGGCGTGCCGTTGTGCCCCCCGAGAGTGTTGCGCTGGCCCTGGCCGCCCCGCGCCGGCCG